ACCAAAGTTTGATCCCCAGTACCACAAAAAAAAATTACAAAAAAGTTTGTGCAAAAGTTGTTTTTAAAAAAAAAACACTAAAATTTTACAGTAGAAAACACTCAATGCAAAAGAAAGGAGGAAAACATCATACCCATGTTTATAGTAGTAAAATTAACAACAGCAAAACCTTGGAAACAGCCTATATGTCCATCAACAGATGAATGGATAAAGAAAATATGGTATTTATATACAAAGGAGTACTGCTTTGCTATAAAAAAGGATAAATTTGAGTCCTTTGTTGGAAAATGAATGCACCGTGAAACCATAATGTTAAGTGAAACAAATCAGACACACAAGCTTAAATGTGGCATGGTTTCTCTTATATGAGAAATCCAAAATATAAATAAATTAAGAGCAAAATAAAGGATAGATAATAGTAAAATGGGAGGCAGACATTTTACAAATGAGAAGGAGATCTAGAGATAGAGGAAGGGGGAGGGGTGTAAAAAGAATTAAGATGGGTTACATACATGTCACCAATTCCCCACAATGAATGTGATCATTATGTACTACAAACATTACTAATAAAGATAAAAATTTAAAAACGTGAGACACAGAAACTAGAAAGCAAAATGGCAGAACTACATCTGGTCATGAAAATAATATTTAATGTAACTGGATTAGACAACATAAGAGCAAAGAATGTGACATTGTATAGTAAAAAATAGACCAACTATATTATATCTACAGGAAATAAGTATCACATCCAAAGATAATAAATTGAATGTAAAAAGATGAAAAAAGTGGTGCTATGGATGCCAGGTGCAGTGGCACATGCCTGTAATCCCAGCACTTGAGAGGCTGAAGCAGGAGGATTGCTGTGAGTTCAAGGCCAGCCTGGTCTACACAGTGAATTAAAATAAACCTGAACTACATATATAGTGAGACCCTGTCTCAACAAAACAAAACAAACTTAAAAAGATGCTGTGGAAACATCAACTATAAGAATGTTGGAATAACACTATTAATATAAGACAAAAATAGAGAGGGTTTTTTTTGCTTTTGTTTTAGACAGGGTCTTATTATATATTCAAGCTGGCCTTGAACTTATTATGTAACCCAGGCTGGCCTGGAACTTGAGATGATCCTTTTGCCTCAGCCTCCTGAAGGATGGGATTATAGGCATGTACCACCACACCCAACTACAAAAATAGAGTTTAAAACAAAATATATTACTAGAGTAAAGAGAAATTTTGTAATAGTAAAGACTATTCCATCTGGAAGGTCTAGGAATTATAAACACATATGCAACTAACAATGGAGCCCAAATTACACAAAGTAAAAATGAAAAAATTGAAGGAAGAAACAGACAGTTGAACAATAAAATTTGAAGACTTTGATACCCTGATGTAAGTAATGGATAGAAGAACTAAACAGAAAATCATCATGGATATAGAATACTTAACACTATAAACATGCTAGACCTAATAGACATCCATAGGGAACCAAAAGACATCCACAGAACATTACACCAAGCCAATTCCTATGTATAGATTTTAAACGAAAACATATACCATAGAAAATTTTGTACATGAATGTTTACCACCACACTATTCAAAATAGCTGAAAACTGGAAACAACTGAAGTACACATGAATGGATAATAGGTGAATAAAATGTGATATATCCAGGCAGTGGAATGTTACTAAGCCATAAAAGGGTACCAAATACTTACTGATATATGCTACAACATGGAGAACTTTGAAAGCATTATTTTAGAATTTATAGAAGAAGCCAATTAGAAAAGATTAAAAACTACATGATGATATTTACATAAAATACCTAGAACATGTAAAACTATTCAGACAGAAAGTAGATCAATGACTGCCTAGGGCTGATGGCAGGAATGAAGAGTAACTGCTAATAGGTAAAGAGTTATGTTTAGAATGTGTAAAAATATTCTAAAATTGAAATGTTCTAAATTCTAGTTGCACATTTCTGAATATTTTTAAAACCATTACAGTGTACATGTAAGTAGGTGAATTCGGGCCAAGGGTGTAGCTCAGTGGTAGCGTGTTTGCCTAGCATGCATGAAATTCCAGGTTAAATCCCCAGCACTGCCCCCCAAAAATGAGTGAATTATAAAGTACACAAATTATACATCAATAATTCTGTTTATAAATAAGCCAAGTGTGGTGGTGGATTCTTGTACTTCCATCTACTCAGGAGGGTAAAGCAGAAGAATGATAAGTTTGAGATTAGCTTGGGCAATTTAGCAAGACACCAACTCAACATTAAAAAGCCAGGAATGTAACTCAAGGCAAGGCCTTGGGTTTAATCCCCACCACCCCCCAACACACATCTAGTGTGGGGGTCCAGACACTTTTTCAGTGACACATCAGACAGTAAATATTTTAGGCTTTGACAGCCATACAGACTCACTTTCATATATTTTTATTTACATTTTACACATATTAAATCAAGTTTTAGCTCTCAGACCACAAAAAAAAAACAGGCCTTGGGTCTGATGTAGCCAGTTTGCGGTAGTTTTCACAGCTGTTCTAGGAAAAAAAATGTGATTCCTTCACAAATTACAGAAATTTCCCCCAAACTCTTATTTGAAGGGTGGAGACATTGTTTGATAACACTGTGCAGTCTATCTATACTCTCTCATCATTTAATTTGGAAATCCTTCAATTTATGAGAGTTTAGAGAATGAGGTAAAGACGTATATAATAGAACTGAACAAATATTCTTTAGAGCACTACATCACCACAATGTAATTCACAAGGACCACACTTACGTGATGAAAAGCAGAAAGAAGTATATCTTCCAGTATCTAGCTACTCTTTCAAAATCAAAGATTACAGAAGGGTTTAGGTAAGAGAGTTCTTAGGAAACATAAAGGACCATGCTTAACACTTTGTGAAATTTCTCTCACTCATGAATTTGAGCTCTATTCACTGAAAAACAGTTTAAGAAACTTAGGACTATGAACTAGAAAGGAAGATTTTTTTAAAAGGAGGAATTTTTGAAAAGTTAAAAGTACAATATAAGGATAAGAAATTACTATTTTTTAGTAAAGCAAAATTTCTACTGATAATTAAATTACTTTTACCTTTATCTGTTCATTTGTTTTATTTACACTATGAGGTTTTTTAGTTCACTGAAGAGAAAATTTTTGTTTTGTTTTGTTTTGTTGAGACAGGGTCTCACTATGTAGTTCAGCCTGGCCTTAAACTCACTATGTAGTCCAGGAAGGCTTTGAAGTCATGGCTATCCTCCTGCCTCAGCCTCCCACGTGCTGGGATTAAAGGCCACACACGCCTGGTGAAGAAAAAATTTTGTGCTTTCATCTGTTTGTTTCTCATTTGTAAGAGTCTCTTTGTGTATAGTTTCTATTTTGAGTAATATTTTCTACATTCTTTTAAAGTCATGATATACAGTATATTAAATGTTAACAGTTATTGTTATTCTTTATTTTGTTATGAAATTTTGTTTTACTTTTTCATAAAAACAAGAGGAATGCTTTTTAATATTTTCTTTATTAATATCTACTTGTATGACATTTAATTTTTTTAAAGCAGAAGTGATTTTTGTTTGTTTTCTTTTGCTCTGTGGCATATAGATTCTTTTCTCATTTTTTCTTTTAAATGAAAAGACTTCTTCAAAGGGACCCCTTTACAAAACCACAAAAAAGGGCTTTGTCTTCTTTATGTCTGTATACTCCATACCTAGAATATTTCTTGGTGTTCAAATGTTTTTTAGCTAAACTCAACAAGGGAAGGGGAAAGAAAGGAAATATTGGGAGAGATCTGGCAGGAGTTTAAGTCTAAAGAATAATATGAAATAAAAGATTAATAGGAAGATAAGGATAAAGAGTAAAGTGGATTTTATACCAGTTGAAGAGAAGAAATGCTGACAAGTATGGGAATTTAGGAAGTTTTTGGTTTTTTTGTTGTCATTGTTGTTTTTGTTTTGTTTTGTTTTGTTTTTGTCCAGATAAAAAAAGCAGAAAGAGGATCTAAAGCTTTAAACATCATTTTAAAAAACCTAGTTGTCTAATTTGGAAAATGTTTTCTTAGCTTGAAAGAAGAAAGGTAAAGAGTTGAAAACAAATCAATAATCTGGTGTATAGCATAAGGCGATGCTGGTAGCTCCTAAAAGAGGTATGTTTTAAGAAACTAAGAAAGAAATTAAGGCAAAGGTAAGGAATTCTGTCTTCTTGTTAAAATAGAGTTGATGAGATTTATAAGGACATAAGACAAAAATAGCAAACACGATTGAGTGAAGAAAAACAAGATAAATAAAAAATTTCAGATGGCTACCAAAGCTACAGAAATGAATTTTTCCATAGAAAAAATGTGCAAAAGGCAACAAAAGTAGGGGAAACATTCCTACAGGCCATATATAATCATGAGAAAATGGATATAAAGACTATTAAAACAGACTAGGAAAGAATAGTCTATGGAAATGAGCATTTTTTTAAAAAGATGGTGTTTAATCCTTTTAAAAGAAGAGGCTAAGCCAAATGGAGGCTTTGTGTAGCAAGGAATTAGCCACTACAAACCTTTGAAATCAAGCTGCTGCTAGAATGAAGGAAAAGATTCTCTAAAGAGAATAAAAAAGAACTGTAAGAGGGAACACAAACATATCAAATACATTGAGTCCCTGGCTTACAATCATTTGAGTTTGCATTATATTGTAAATGCAGACAAATCGCGAAGTAGCTCACGTCTTCCCTATCATTTTAAGGTGATTGTAAAAGTGGTTTATTTATAATTGTACTGTACTGTAGCATCCATTTTAAGGTAACCATAAAAGTAAAAATAGTTTATTTACAGTATTTTGTGTGTGCTTTACATTGTATTATATGTGTCAAAGGTGTGTAAGATTCACGTTGTTGGATTTAGGAGCGAATCCAACTTATGAACATTCTCCTGGAACACTCTTTTCTAAGTCAAGGACTTAGTAAGGCACACTTAATTCTTATTCTGCCTTTGAAGTTTGCATCTTTACCTGTTCAGCAGTTGTTGAAGCTTTTCTCCCTTGCTCTAGGTCAAGTGCAGCTGCCATAAGTAGACATGCTTCCTGTGCAATCAAAATTAATCGGTCAGAATGGCAAAACTGGCACAGCTGACAAAAAAATAACCAGAAATGATTGAATAGTTAGAATTCTGTCAGGTAAACACAATTAGAATGAAAATCAGCAACATCCTGTCTGAATGAGAAAAATACTGCTTGGAAAGCACAAGTCACCATAAAAATTATATATACTATAACACTGATTTACAGTTTAATTTTGTATTACTTTCCATTGTTTTTACCACCTTCCTTAACTTATTCACAGTTTCCTATTTTTCCCAGTTACATGCACTGCTTGCGCCTGTATTTCTATCTAGTGATTTTCTTCTAGATGTATACTATCATTTCTAAGTGATTTTCCCTCTGGCACATATATTTCGCTTTGTATTGAATAGAGCCAAAATTAGTACATATAGTGTCATAGATGAAAGAGACAATGTCAAATCTTGACAGGCATTAGGCATAATTTCACCATTAAACCTTATCCTCTAGTTTTAGTAAAACAAAAACTTCCAGCTTTGTACTACCACAAAACTCTAGGCGAGTTGGATTCTTATATTCCAATCCTACAAGGGTTATCACAGATTCAAAAATTAAACTGATTTATTTTACCTAATTAAAATGGCAATTATATTTAATTTGCAAAGATTATTTCTTAATCTCCCCCAAAATTTAGTGATTGCAACCATCACTATAACTGAATTAATAGTATTTCAAAATAACCAATCTTTTTAGGTCTTGGGTTAACTCTTAAGTAAGGTGAGGGACTTATGCTAGATTATCACTTTTCTTTCCAGATTTAAAATTCTAAACAGTTAACTGATCTCAACCTATCAGACTGTGAACTTCTAAATGCATATGAAGGATATTCTCTAGCCCCTCCCCTTTTATTCTAACTTGGAGGGTAAACAATTATTTTTAAATTCTTATAAGTGAATAGCAAGCTCAAAAATACTTACACATGGAACCTGTATTAGGAAAAGTTATAAAGGAGGCCTATGCTTTTTATGTTTTAATCAGATCTGTTTACAGATATTTATTCTATATAAACCCAAGGCCTTGTGCATGCTAGGCAAGTACTCTAGTAAGCAGCTAATTCCTAGTCCTTTTTATTTTTTGTATTTCAAGATAGGGTCTTACTAAGTTGCACAAGCTGGCCTTAAACTTTCAGTCCTGCTTCAGCCTCCCAAGTACATGGGATTACAGACATGCACTACCTCACCCACTTTATTCTCTATTCTCATAAATTTATTCTTTCACTTTTCCTAATATGTTAGCAACTGACAACTTCTTAAAGTACTTCCATCCAAAAGATATTTACATTTTAATATAAAACTGGGAAAATGAAATCAAATCACTTCAAAAGCAAAGGAGTTATTTTGTAATGGTTGAATTTTAGGTTATGTGATGAATGTGCTATTTTACTCTAAGAAGATATATCATACATTCTTTTTTATTAGTATATGTTTGCAATACATAATACATTCATCTTGGGGAACTGGTAAATATACATATAGCATCATAATCATTTTTACTTCACTTTCCTCTCCCTACCCTTCTGTTTCCTCTATCCCTATATCCCCTTCACATCTTCACAATGCCTGCATCCTTGTTTCCTATCATGTAATTTTATTCTACTCTTTAAATTATTTATATTGTGGATTTTTCATATAAGGGGAACCACACAATATTTAACCTTCTGTGATTTATTTTGCTTAGAATTATGGTCTCAAGGTGCATCCATTTCATTACAAATGACTGAAATTTATCCTTCTTTATGGCTCAGTAGTATGCCGTTGTGTATATGTACAAGATTTTCTTTTTTTTTTCTTTTATTGAGTTTATTGGTACATTTAAGGTATACAGTACAATTACGTTCATTGTTGGGATCTTGTACCTTTACACGACAGGTCTTGGTTCTCATTTTTTCCCCTTGTCCATGCCCTCCCTTCATCCCCTCCTCCGCTCCCCATTTACAAACACTTTATTTCCATTTTTCAAGATTTTCTTTAATGACTCATCTGTTGATGGGCCTATAGGTCACTTCCAAGATTTAGCTATTAAAATATTGCGTGGCTGTAAACATTGGTGCACACATATCACTGTAATATATCTTTAACTCTTGGGAAAATACTCAGAAGTGGTATAATAGGGTCAAATGAAACTTCTATTTTAGTTATTTGAGGCATCTTCATACCGATTTTCATAGTGGTTGTATTAGTTTACATTCTCACCAACAGTGTAGAAGGGTTCTTTCCCCCCTACAACCTTGCTAGCTTTTGTTTTCTGAGTTCCTGGTGATAGCCATTCTTACTGGAATAAGATGAAATGTCAGTGTTGTTTTTGCTTTTGATTTCTCTAATCCACTGCACAGTCTTACATTATGCCCTACAGGGACAGATTTTCCTTAGGTTATCTCTGCTTAGACATATATTAAAAGTTCCTACTTTAAAAGATTAAAAGATTGGCTGTATTTATTATATATTTATGCTATTTATAGCTCTTTACTATAGCCATCATGGTCATATTCTTGTTATTGCCCATAAATGAAATAATTATTAGAAAAGAATTACCTTATAAGAAAGCATGAAAAATTCTCTCATTATCACTGGGTCTTTGTCAAATTGCACAGCCAAATTCCAAGCTGAAAGTCAGTATGAAATAATAGAAATCTGAAATCTGTTTGATCTGTATGATTACAATCTATGCTGTCTACATCTTTACTATGGATATTCTAAAACGTATTTCTCAGAGATTAAGAAATTAGCTTTAGTTTTATAGAAAAAAAATTGCAGGTAAATTTAGGTACTCCTATTTCTTGTAATCTTCCATTTTAGGCCAATGAACAATGGAACCACTGTAGAATTTTTCAAAAATTGGAAACATACAAAAAGAAATTTTTTGTTTGTTTTTTTGAGACAGGGTCTCACTATGTAGTTGAGACTGACCTGAAACTCACTATGTAGCCCAGGCTGGTCTCAAACTCACAGTGATCCTCCTGCGTCAGCCTCCCAAGTGCTGGGATCACAGGCATGCACACCATGCTCGGCTCAAAGAGAATTTTTAATTGGCACAAAACCATTTAAAATATGAAGATCAACAAAGAAAAGGTGAAAGAAGTCAAAATTCAGCTAAGCAGAGAACACACTAGTAATTTATCATCATCATCGTCGTCGTCATGATGATGATGATGATGATGATGATGATGATGATGTATCAGGGATCAAACTCAGGACCTTGCACATGTAAGAAAGGTGGTGGCACCACTGAGCTAAATCCCAGCCCTCATTCACATTTTTCAGAGAACAGTAGAAGCTCCAATTAGGCAACATGATCTTTACTTTGGAAAATCAAAATTAAAATATAGTAAAAAATACTTTTTCAAACTCAAAAGATCAAAGTTATCAAACTTTTTAATAGTTTAAATGTGTTATTTTCCACTATTTGCATACATTTTTCAGAAAGCAGATTGTTGATTTATTCCCTTCTAGTTTAGAACCCCAACAAATCCCCAGTACAGGGCAAGATTCACATAGAAACAAAACTACCTCTGTAGTAATTTTCTCCAAATTTTTAAATGTATTTTTATTAAATAAAACCTACAAAGCCTGGGGAAGTAGCTCAGTGGTGGAGCCCTTTCCTATCATGCACAAGGCCCTAGGTTGAATCCTTAGCACCACAAGATAACAGCAATAACAAACCTACATAGAGCAAATAACACAACTCATAATTATACAGCTTGATGAATATCTTGTCTTTTTTAACTTTTTCAAAATAGATCTCTAAGGAAAACCAGCAAAATATTAGCCTATGCATAACCATCTGCTTAGGGAGCACATTCTTCCATTGTGCTTGGCACATAGATTTCCTTGTGGTGGGATTTTTTTTAAGGGGGAAGAAGGGTATATTTTCTCCCCATCTCTCCTTTCTCCTGTCCTCTCTCTTCCCCTGTACACATGTAGATGGAATAGGAGAAGCCCTTGTTGCTGTAGATTTGTGTGCAGCCTGGCAGCCTTAAGCCCACCTGGGCACATTTAGAAAAAAAGCAAAAACACCAAAAACAAAACAAAAAAAAAAAAACACACCTTTTTTTATCCATTCAACAGCTGGTGGGCATTTGGGATGTTTGCAAGTTTTAGCTATTACAAATTGTGTCACTGTAAACATGAGTGTGTATATATCATTATAGTATGATGCTTTCAATTTGGGGGGAAGATACCCAGAATGAGACTACCTGGGTCAAATGGGACCTGTAATCTTAGTTTTTAAAGGAATCTCCACACTGACTTCCAGATTGGTTGCAACAGTCTACTCCCACCAAGAGTGGAGAAGGGTTCTTTTCTCCCACATGTCTGTGAGCATTTGTTGTTGGTTGATTTTTTGATATTAGCCATTCTTTCTGGAGTGAGATGATATCTCAGTGTTGTTTTAACTTGCTGAGTGTTTTTTCATGTATTTATTTGCCATTTCTAGTTCTTCATCTGAGAAGTGTCTATTCACTTCAGATGCCTACTTTTGGATTGGGTCTTTAAATTTGAGAGGATCAATTCTTTTCTCAATTCTTTGTATGTTCTAGATACTAGTCCTTCTTTTGAGGGACTATTGGGTAGAATTTTTCCCACTCTGTGGGTTGTCTTTTCACTCTGTTGGTGATTTCTTTTGTGGTGCAAAAATTATTTAACAGGATAAAATCACAGTTGTTGATTCTTTGTATTATTCCGTGTGGTCTGGGTTTTGTTCATGAAGTCTTTGCCTACTCCAATGTCCTCAAGAGTTCTCCCCATTCTTCCAGCAGATTTACTGTTTCTGTTTTAATATTTAGATCTTTAATCCATTTTTATTTTAATTTAGTGCATGGTGAGAGACATGGGTCTAGTTTTAGTCTTTGGCATGTAGAAAGCCAGTTTTTCCAGCATCACATATTAAAGAGACTATCTTTTGGCCCCTTTGTCAAAGATAAGATGACTGAGTTTTTTGGGGGTAGTTTCTGCCTCTTCTAGTCTGTTGCATTGATCCTCAGGTCTTTTTTTTCCAGTACCATTCTGTTTTCATCACTGTAGCACTGTAGTATAATTTCAAGTCTGAGACAGTCATGCCCCCTGATTGTCTATGTTGCCCAGAATTATTTTTGCTATTCTAGGTTTCTTCCTGTTTCAAACAAATTATAGGAATGCTTTCTCTAATTCTGTGAAGTATGATAATAGCATTTTAATTGGGATTGCACTAAATTTGTATTGCAATTTTGAGAGTATGGCCATTTTTTTTCTCATTGAGTTTATTGGTACATTTTAGGTATACAATACAGTTACATTCATTATTGGGACCTTGTACCTTTACATGACAGGTCTTGGTCCTCATTTCTCCCCTTGTCCCTACCCTGCCTTCACCCCCTCCTCCCATCCCCATTTAAAAACACTTTATTTCCATTTTTTTCATTTTCTCATATTTTTTCTTTCCCTTCTTACCTTTCCCCTATCCTTCCCACTTTCCCTACACCTTTAGCACTTTTCTTCCTATTTCACATTGTCAATTATATCATTAGGATCTTATGTTCTATTATAGTTTTTCACACCAGAGAAACTATTTGGTATTTACACATGTGTGCCTTATTTATTTCATTTAGGAGTATATCCTCAATATGTATCCATTTTCCTATGAATGACTCTAATTTCTCATTCTTTATGGCTAAGTAGTATTCCATTTTATAGAAAAACCACATCTTTATGCAGTTTCCAACTGATGGGCAAATGGGCTGTTTCCAAGTTTTAGCTATTACAAACTGTGCCGCTATAAACATAGGTGTGTATATATCACTGTTTTATGATTGTTTTAATTCTTTTGGAAAGATACCCAGCAGAGGGATGGCTGGGTCAAATGGAACCTCTAGTCTCAGCTCTTTGAGATATCTCCATATTGATTTCTATAGTGTTTGTACCAGTCTGCACTTCTACCAGTAATGGAGAAGGGTTCCTTTCTCCCCACAACCCCACCAACATGTGTTATTATATGATTTCTTGATAGCAGCCACTCTTTGTGCGGTGAGGTAGAATCTCAGTGTTGTTTTCATCTGCATCTCTCGAATGACCAGTGATGTGGAACATTTTTTCATATATTTACTGCTGCTTTTACTTCTTTGTCTGAGAAATGTCTGTACATTTCAGATGCCCATTTTTGAATTGGGTCTTTATATTTGGGGGGGCTGATTGTTTTGTGTTCTTTATATATGCTAGATAATAGTCCTTTGTCTGAGGAGCAGCTCGTAAAATTTTTTTTCCCACATTGTAGGTTGTCTCTTAGTTCTGTTGATGGTTTCTTTTGCAGTGCAGAAGCTTTTTAATAAGATAAGATCCCAGTTCTTGATGAATTCTGCTAGTTCCCATGCTACTGAGGATTTGTTCATAAAGTCTTTTCCTATGCCAATGTCTTCAAGAGCTCTGCTTAACTTATCTTCCAGAAAATTTAGTGACTCTTTTTAAATATTTAGATCTTTAATCCAGTTGGATTTTAGTTTAGTGCATGGTGAAAAGTAAGGGTCTACTTTTAATGTTTGGCAGGTTGAAATCCAGTTTTTCGAGAGTATGGCCATTTTAACTATATTGGTTCTTGCTACCTAAAAGCAAGGAATATCTTTCCATTTTCTGGTATCTTCTTTGATCTCCTTTTTTTTTTTTCCGCTTTGAGTTTATTGGTACATTTTAGGGATATAGTACAGTCCTTCTTAAGCACACTATAGTTTGCAGTGTAAAGGTCCTTTACTTCCTTTGTTAGATTGATTCATAAATATTTCAATTTTTTGATGCTATATTGAAAAGTATTTCTTCCCTAATTTCATTCTCAGTGAGTTTGTTACTTGTGTACAGGAAGGTATTTATTTTAGAATGTTGACTTTGTAACCAGCTATGCTACTGAATTTGTTTATTAACTCTAGGAGTTTTTTGGTGGAGGTTTTGGGTTTTGGGAGGTTTTTCTTCTATACAGAAGATCATGTCATCTGCAAATAATGATACTTTAACTTCTTCCTGTTCTATCTTTATTCTTTTTATTTCTTTCTCTTGTCTAATTGCTCTGGCTAATGTTTCCAGAACTATATCGAATAGGAGTGGTGATAGTACACATGCTTGTCTTGTTCATGATTTTAGAGTGAAAGCTTTCAGTTTCTGAGTGATTAATATTATGTTGGCTGTTGGCTTATCATACATGTCTTTTATCATATTGAGATGAGGATCATCTATTTCAATTTTCTGTAGGGTTTTTAAAATCACAAATAGGTGTTGGACTTTGTCAAATGCTTTTTCTGCATCTACTGAGTGATCATGTGATTTTTGTCTTCGGCTTTGTTGACATGGTGTATTACATTTATTGATTTGCACGTGTTGAACCATCCTTGCATCCTACGGATAATTCCTTCTGAGTCATGGTGTATAATCTTCCTGATGATTTGCTGAATTCTGTTTGCTGGTATCTTTTTGAGAATTTTTGTGTCTGTGTTCATTAGGGTGATTGGCCTGTATAGTTTTCTTTTTTGCTTGGGTCCTTCTCTTGTCTTGATATCAGGGTAATACTTGCTTGTAGGAATGATTTTGGGAGTATTGTTTCCCTTTTTATTTTATTAAAGTGTTTAAAAAGAATTGGTATTAGGTCTTCTCTTAATTTCTTATAGTATTACGCAGTGAAGCCAACTGGACTTGGGCTGTTCTTTGTTGGCAAATTTGTAATTACATTTTTAATTTCATTGACTTATATTGGGTAATTTAGAATTTCTATATCTTCTTGATTCAGTTTTGGTAATTCATATGTATGCAGGAATCTGTTCATTTTTTCTGTGTTTTCCAGGTTCTTGCAGTAGGTATTTATGATCTGGATTTCTCCAGGATCCATTGTGATTTCTCCCTTTTTATTCCTACTTTCATGATTTTAAGTCTTTTCTTTCCTTCTTTTAATTAAGATTGTTGAAGGGTTTACCATTATTATTTGATCTTTCAAAGAAGCCATTCTTCAATTCACCCTAGACCATGTTTAGAGGCATAACTTTTGGAAACCTGAAGTTTTAATTCATTATTTTTTTCTCAGAGCCATTTCTAAAGAAAAGGAAGAAAACTGACATTGAGCAGCCTACTATGTGGTAGACAAAAAAGGAATAAATCAGCAATTGGCTTTTATAATAACTATATAAGTATATATCAGTATTTCCATTTTATAAATGATGATACTGAGATTAAGCAAGTTATCCTGGTACCCATAACTACAACGTACCAGAATTTGAACCCACATCTGATTCTATCATCCTACAATATTTCCCATAGTCACAGAATATTCTTTTACCTATTTTTCGAAACCAGTGAGCTTCATTAGCCCTGGAATCCAAAGTTGAATTTTCTCCCTGAAAAAGCTGAGCAAGTTTCAGGAGTGCTGCATCAAAAAGGAAAATATGATACTTAGTTCTTTTACTTTTTATGCTAGTAAAGTTAATCCTGCTTCAAAAAGTCATGCATAAATTTGAATTTAAAAAACTCATCTTTTGTGTGTGCATGCATGAGTGCACATCAAAAGTAATTCAAATGACAAAAAGTTCCAAGAAGCTGTTAACTCAAACTTTGGAGGACAAAAATATCTTTAGAGAGATTCATAATTTCAAATAGTGTCATCATTTACCACCCAAAGTAGAAAGATATGACTTACATGTAAGGAAACAAAGAATAATTATTAAAAATTCTGAAATGATATTGCGTGTGTGTGTGTGTGTGTTTTGTGACAGGGTCTCACTGTGTAGTTCAGGAAGACATTGAACTCACTATGTAGCCCAGGCTGGCCTTGAACTCACCTTTCTGACTCAGCCTCCTGAGTTCTGGGATTACAGGCATGCACCATCACACCTGGCTCTGAAATGGTACTTTGTTGAGTTCAATACTCAGCACAGAAAGAAAAACCTGAACTAGAGTTTAACAAGTAAAAGAGTATGAATGGGCTATTGTGAGGTTTTGTTTTGTTTTGTTTTGTTTGTTTGTTTGTTTGTTTGGTAGAATGGGGAATAGAGCTCAGGACCTTGTGTTTGCCAAACAAGTGTGTATCACTGAGTAAATCCCCTGCTGAACTATTAGAATAAATTGAATAGTTTCCAAGACATGAACTTTTTTGTATGTTTGGACTTTCAAAAAAAAAAGAGGCACTACAAAAACAGGCATATGGGCAGTTGAGATTAGATTTGTTAGGCAAAATGGACCACCTAAGAAAGAATGGAGTTGGTAAAAGGAATATAATGTCACTAGATTACCTCCAATAAAATAGACAGGGAAGAATTGTGAGTAAATAGGAGAGATGACTCAGACCTTTGTTAGAAACATAGCTTCAAAAGAAGAGTAAAACATTCAAATTTGGCTCACAAAGCATAAAAACCCAACAGGGTCTAGAACATTTTTATTGTCCTGATATTTTTTAACTTTCAATGTGCAGTTTAGGAGTAATGATGATTAGAAAGAAAAGAAGGAAAGGAGGGAGAGAAGAAGGGAAATGCCCTTAAAATGAATTGGAATAAAAGCAGAACTGGTTGGGTGTGGTAGTGCACACCTGTAATCCCAGCACTTGGGAGGTTGAGGCAGAAAGTTCACCCCAAGTTTGAGGCCAGCCTGAACTACCCAGTGAGTTCAAAGCCAGGCTGAACTATATAATGAGTGCCTGTCTTACAAAAAAAAAAAAATCGGGCTGGGGAATTAGCTCAGTGGTTCTGCTGCCTGCCTCGCAAGTGCAAGGTCTTAAATTTGATCCCCAGTAACCCCACCCACCAAAAACAAGTAAAAACCAAAAACCAAAATAAAACAAAAACAGAACTGAAGTTATGTTTGGAGATGAATGGTAGCGATGCCAAACTTTTCTTTGCTTGTGAATAAAGAAAACAGTCTCCTGTGGTAAATGTTAATAAGGAGCACAAAGTTTAGCTCAAATACAAGATTAGAGAAAGTGTACTCTATTTACCTGGAGAATTAAATAGCACATAGAAGCAAGATTAGAACTGAGAATAATGAATGAGACATTTACCTGTATTCATCCATGTCAAAAGTCGATCTATTTCTTTTTTTCTAAAAAATAAAGAAAAAGTTTTAAATTGTTCTAAACAGAAACGAACTAAAAAGATACTATTTGTACCTGGAAAGTGGGCTAAAAATGGTAAAGTTTTATATTCAAGACTCTAATGTATTATTTCAAGATTCTTCCCCTACCACTAGAATATATGGTTACTCATTTTCTTTTCTCCTCCTTTTATACTTAGTCTCAGCAATAGTGTCTTAAAATGGCTGATAAAGTTTTATATTATAAATATTACAGGGCCATAAAGTTTGGGAGCAGGTAATATAACAACCACTGTAATTTGTTTTGTGTTTTTTGAAAGAGGGGTTATTACAGCCCTTGCTTTCAAATAAAAATGTATAGAAGTGTAGTGTATAAAAAAAGATAGGGCTGGGGTAGTAGCACAGTAGTAGAGCACTTGTGTAGAATGCAGGTGTTCCTGGGTTTAATCCCTAGAGCTGGAATAAAAGGTGAAAGGAGAGAGCTTTAGTTGAATCAGGGGTGGGTGAAGGCCTGCAACATCAGCTTCCTGGAAGTCACTGAGGCAGTGCCACAAAATCTCCCAGGAATTACATATATTTTTTTTAAAACTTATTTCATACAAAATTCTCACTTTACAGGTGAGGAAACAGACCTAGTAATGAGGGCTTCTTTGTTCAAGGTGATGGAGTTAGTGAAAAAGTCAATTCTATATCTAGGTTAATCTTAGGCAAACTTCTTTAAGGGGTATTTGAATTTTAAAGGGGGACTTCTGGTTTCCAGTTTTGCTTCAAGGGAAATTGAAAGCTGTTATTCTGCCCTAACATTTACAAGCTAATTAGACAGAAATCAGCAACTCTTACATTCATAGAAGCAGTGATGAAAAGGGCAAACCACTGCCACAAAGATCGGAGAGACAGACAGGTGAAAACAGGGAGTCACAACTTATATTTCTTTGTTGATTTTTTTGTCTAGTTGTTCTATTCATCTGTGATAGTGGGGTATATAATTGTATTGATTTTTTTTGCTCTTTATGTCCACTTGTGTTTTATGAAGTTGTGTGTTCTGGTGTTTGGCGGGTATGTTTATAATTGTTATCACTTCCTGTCCAATTGTTCCCTTATCTAGTTATCTTCTTTGCCTCTTCTGATCAGTTTTGGCTAAAGCCCAATGCCTGAGTATATGAGAGCCACACTTGCTATTTATTGAGTTCCCATTGCATGGAATGTTGTTTTGTATCCTTTGATTTTTTAGTCTATACATTTATTTTTGCACTAAATATACTAGATTTTGTTCTTGATTCATTCTGCTAATCTGTGTCTTTTGATTGGAGAAGTTCGACTATTTACATTGAAGAGTCATTACTGAAAGTTATTGACTTATTCCTATCATTGTATTATTTTCCTGGTACTAATTACATTTTCACCTATTCTGCTTAGCTGCTCATCTTGCCAAGTGTATTAATTCCTTTTGACTTGTTAGCACTGTTAGCTTCATTATCTCTTTCTAGAATTTTCTTGAGAATTTTTTGGCATGCTGGCTTGATAGTCATGAATTTCTTAAGGTGCTCTTTGTCACAGAAAGACTTTAATTCTCCATCAATTTTGAAAGATAGTTTTGCAGAATGTCAGTCTGGGGTGGAAATTGTTTTATCTTAGGGCTTGAAACACTTCATTCCAAGCTTTCCTCACCTTTAAGTATGTGTTGAGAAGTTTTCTGTAATTCTAATGGGTTTGATTTATAAGTGATTTGTTGTTTTTCTCTAATAGTTTTTAAGATTCTGTCCTGGTGATGGATTATTGGGATTTTTGACTATGATGTGTCATGGAGAAGTTTTTTCTGATCATAACTACTACAGGTTCTATATGCTTTACTTATCTCTATGTTAAATTATTTCCCCATATTTGGAATATTTTCTATTATTTCTGTAAACAGGCACTTTATGCCATTTGTACTGTCTTCTGATATTTCAGTAATTCCAATTAATCTTAGATTAATCTTTGCTCCATCTAGTATCTTTTGGATCCATTTTTTATGTGTCCTTTTGTTTTTAAGGTGTCTCTGAATAAATGGTCACCAATGTTAGTCCTATCTTCTATTTTTGACACTCTGTCATTGCACTGGTCATTTTTGCTGACCATACTTTCAATAGAATTTTCTTTCTCCTGGATTTATATTTGGTACCTTCTCACAGACCCTAATTCTTTGCTAATGTGGTCCTTCATGTTTTGTGTCACTTTGTTTAGCTCACCTGGATTTTTCTTACTTTTTCCTGTAAGGTCGACAATCATTTTGCTTATCAATCATTTTGCTTCTTATCAATCATTTTGTTCAATATCTCTTTAGTCATATCTTCTTCAAACTCTCCAAGCACTTAATTCACCTGATTTTTTTCACTCCTGTTTTATCATTTCAAATGTTAGCTATGTGGTTTTTTTAATTTCATCCCCACTGATGCCTAATGGGTCAGCTTTGGGGGAGTTGGGAACCATGTTTCTGTTGTTGTTGTTGTTGTTGTTGTTGTTGTTGTTGTGCATTTTGGAAGCCATGTTTCTGTTGTTGTTGTGAGTTTTGGGAGCCATATTTCCATTGTTGTTGGTGTTGCTGTTGTTGTTGTGGTGGCGGCGGTGGTGGTGGTGGTTTTTTTTAGTGCGTGTGTGTGTGTGTGTGTGTGTGTGTGTGTGTCGAGGGTTTCTGGTTCATTATAGTGGGAAAACTTTGTTGCCATTGTGGAGAGATCTTTAGTTAATGTGTACTTTTTAGTGATGCACTCTGAACATGAATAACTATAGACCTTTGCTTCTTTCCCAAGATCCAATCACCTTTATTAATTTGGAAAGAGAGGCTGCAGCATAGTTGACCCAGCACCCAGTTCTCAGGGGATGGGCTGTAGGGTAGTTAATTACACAAAGGCAATGCAGATATTGGCATAAAGAGAAAAACCAACTAATCCACCTTGGCAAGAGCAATAAAATCAGCAACAATATGACAAACCAAATATTGACTAACAGTACATATCTACTAAATGCAACAAATATCCCTCCACTAACAATAGAAAAATATTCAATAGTAATAGAGCTAACTAAAGATTAATAAAGTTAATTTTTATTTAATAAAAATGGGGACTTGAGAAGCATGAGAATGAAAAAGTAAAATTTGAAAATTTAATCAATCGAAGAGTGGAAGGAGGAGAGAAAAGTGAGAGAAAGTATCCTGTCAAAGAGTAAAGGGAAATTAAAAGAATTAGGCTAAAGTAACAGAAAGAACAAGAAAAAGATGAAAAAAGAAAATGTAGGGAGGTCTGTGCCAGCCACTCCGAGATCCAATCTCCCTCTGGCCTGCCTGGGGCCAATTGGGCTGGCTGGGACGAAAAGGTGAGGACTGGGTAGCCACACCCGCACCCTGCCTGTGCTACAACCAGCATCCAGCAGAAGTTGGAAGGGAGAGGTCCAGGACAGCTGCTCCGAGATCTGATCTCCCTCTGGCCTGCCTGGGGCCAATTGGCGAGGAATAGCTTGTCACACAGGTGCCCCTGTAACACCCCCCATCTCTCCCCCCACCACTCTCAGGCCTCCTGATTGTGCCAGTCCTTGGATCCACTCTGCAGAGACACAGGTGAACATAAAAGGCATTTTTCTGAGCCCCAAACTTTGAATATCTTCAAAGAAAGGACAGAGGGAACCTGTAGTAGAACTCTGATGAGTTCAACCCAGCAGAAGGTCAGGGAGCTCAATTTGGGCCTTGCAGGATGAAATCAGCCTGAATCTCAGGGGTCTGCCATCAGCTAGCTGAGATCAAAGGACTTAGTTCCGCACATGGCTGCGCACATTCTACATTATGATAGTAGAGATATACTTGGAAAGAGGCCCTTCAAATTCTTTTTTTTCTTTCTTTTCTCATTCCACTCTGCAAATTCTTTCTTTTTTCTGTCCTCTTTGTCCAACTCAGTCTCTTGCTCCCACATAATATTCCTAATCTCCCATTCTGATCCTGTTCCTGACCTAACTTGGATTTCTTCTTTTATCATTTTTTCTTTTTTCTTTATGTTCTTTTCCTTTCTCATTTTCCTTCACTCGAGGGTCAGTAGTTTCAAAGGAAACTGAGCCCCTACTACTCCTAAGTGGTTATATTCTTGTGCTTATTCTTGCACTCTGTCTTTCCCTTTTGACTTTAACAGTTTCCTAAAGATTATATGGTCATCCTATGTCCTCTGGATTCACTTGAAACTTTCTCCAATTCATTTACTTATCTACTGCTCCCTTCCTACCTCTGTCTAAGTCCCCATGTTAAATGGTAAAGATGCTACTTTGAAAGGTTTATTCACTGCAAACATATTTTGGGCTGCTTCTTGATTTTAATTTAATTCACATGGTTTAAAGGTAATACATTAATGACTACCACAAGTGGTCAATTTGTAAGTTGTGCTTGATCCTATTATGTTGCTGATTGTATCAATTGGGCTAAAGGATTGTGATTGATTTAATGAGTTGTCTTCTCTGATATTAAGAAAATGAGAATGTCTATGAGTCACTAGAGACTCAAAAGATAAAGCGCAACTATATCAGGAAGATTTAAGTAATAACCCAGAAATTAAACCAAGGACAACCCAACAACAAAAACAAAAATGACAAAACACTTAAGCAAGACATAAACACAGACTTCTAGTTCGCCAATGGCAAACAGTAGGGCTAATGAGGATTAAAAGTCTGATAGTGAACCACCAGGACACCCTAAACTCATAGCACAGGAAGTAACAAAACAGATCAATCAGGCTCTAGGAAAATTCAAAACAGAAATAATTTCCCAGATAACCATAGAGATGGTGGGCAAAATGAAAGTCATGATTCGAGATTCTAGAACAGAAACTGACAAAAAAATAGATGAGCTCGGGACCATGAGAGAAGCCATGAAGGCCCAGCAAAAGAAAGAAATGGAAACAATGAATGCCCAACAGAGGAAAGAAATGAAATCCATAAAACAGATTCAAACAGATATTCAGGAGATTAAAAACTCTACTGAAAGTGTTAGCAGCAGAATAAAAGTAATGCGAAGATAGGATCTTAGATATAGGAGATAGGATTGCAGTCAGTGACAGTGAAAAGAGAGGTCTCCTAAAATCAGTAAGGGATCATGAGAAATTGATCCAACAACTCCTAGATGATGCAAAGAAGAATAACATAAGACGGAGAGTAATCCATGAAGTAGCAGGAGAAAATACAAATGACTTTAAAAAGCTGTTCAAAGAATTAATGACAGAAAACTTCCCAAACAGAGGGGAAGAATTTCACATACAGATAAGTGAGACATATAGAATTCCAACTAGCCACAATCACAAAAAACCTACACATAGACATATAATAATCAAGATCCCAGAAACCCAACAGGAAAAACAAAATACTACAAGCAGTAAGAGAAAAGAAACAAGTCACACGCAAAGGAAAGCCCATCAGAATCACAGCAGACTTTTCAACACAAACCCTCAGGTCAAGGAGAGCCTGGAGAGGTATTTCAAGGCCTAAAAGAAAACAACATCCAACCTAGACTGATGTATCCTGCAAAACTCTCTTTCAAAATGGATGGGGAAAAAAGATGCTGCCATGACAAAGAACACCTGAGAAAACTCATGATACCAAACCAGCACTACAAGGAATTCTAAACAATGTCCTAGAAAAAGACAATGAAGATCACAACACCATGAGGCCCAACAGACCAAATCAAATTTGAAAGGCAAGACACTAAAAGGAGAGAGGGAAAAAGTAAAGAGAGTCAACAAAAGGCCAATAATGTGACAATAATAAGTCAGTATATATGTTATAACCATCAATGTCAATGGCCTCAATTAATCAATCAAGAGAAATAGACTGGCAGAATGGATTATGAAGCAAAATCCAACAATATGTTGTATATAAGAAATGCATCGAGTACAAAAAGAAGCCCAAAGACTGAAAGTGAAAGAATGGAAAACAATTCTCCATGCAACAGGATCCCAGAGAAAAGCAGGGTAGCAATCTCATTCACAGACAAAGTAAATTTCAAACCAAAACTGATTAAGAGAGACAAAGGCCATTATATCATTGTCAAGGGAACAATTCAAGAGGAAGAGATGACAATCATGAACATATATGCAACAAATATTAATGCCCCCAACTATATAAAACACATATTAAGTAACATGAGAAACCAAATAAGCACTAATACAATTGAAGCAGGGGATCTAAATAGCCCATTATCACAAATAGAAAGATCATCTAGGCAAAAAATCCACAACAAAAACTAGAACTGAACCAAGCTTTTGAACATATGGACTTAATAGACATCTATAGAGTGTTCCATGCCACAAAATCAGAATATACATTCTTTTTGGCTGCACATGGGTCATTCTCCAAGATAGACCACATACTAGCTCATAGAACAGGTTTGAATAAATGTAAAGGAATCAAAGTTATCCCCTGTATTTTATCAGATGATAGTGCAATCAAGCTGGAGATCAATAGCATAAGAAAGCATAGGAATGTTACAAACACATGGAAATTGAACAACTCTCCTAAACAATCAATGGGTCACTGAGGAAATTAAAGAATAAATTAGATTTTACACATAAATGATAATGCCAATACAACCTACAGGAATCTATGGGAAACAACGAAAGCAGTTCTGTGTGGAAAATTCAGAGCATTGAATGCCCACACTAGGAAAACAGCGAGCTCAAATAAACCTAATGATGAATCTTCGACTCCTAGAAAAACAAGAGCAAGGAAAACTCAAAGCTCACACAAGAGAGGAAATTGTAAAGATTAGAGCAGAAATCTGTGCAATGGAAACTATGAAAATAATACAAAAAATTAAACGAATCAAAGAGTTGGTTTTTTGAAAGAATAAATAAAATCGATAAACCCTTAGCTAACCATATGAAAAAAAGGAAAGAAAAGGTTCATATCCATGAATTAGGGATGAAAAAGGTGAAGTCACAGCAGATCCAACAGAAATCCAGAGGATCGTCAGTACCTACTTTGAGAACGTGTACTCTAAAAAAATTGGAAACCAGAAGTCAATGAAGTAGCTGAAGCTAAACTAATTCTTTTGAGGAGAAGGTAAGGAAAAAATAATTAAGATGTGTTATGTATGTGCACCAACTCCTATGAGAAAAGTAATCATTATGTACTCCAAACATGCACTAGTAAAAAAGTAAGAACTAAAAAAATTAGTTTTCTGGACTCATCTCATTCAATTAGGTCATACTTTTTTACAAGTTAGTCTAATTTTTTTATCTTGAGCTCTTCCCTCTATTGGAAAACACTGCTAGAAGATGTTCTCTGTTATTACACCTGCTTGAAAAACAATGGTGTATATTTTTTTAATGTTCTACAATATATGTTACTAATTTAGAGAAAATTCCCTCTGTTACTCCACTTCCAAACTAGTATAAATGAGTGAGGTTTGATTCTATGCCACAATCACGTGCAATGTAAAGCACCTTTAGGTTCAGTGTTAAAGACCTTGTAAAGAACTGATGCTCAATTATTTAAATAAATTGAGTGGCAATTATGTTTTAAATGCTATCTTAGGTTTTAGAAATATGAAGACTCCTAGCCTTCAAGGAGTTCTTACACTCTATGTTTGGTCTCTGAGTTTCCTTCTTTAAAAAACAACTTTGTTGTGGAAAACTTCAAAGATATTCACATATTAAAAGCAAGTATAATAAATCCCCATGTACCTATCATCCAGCTTCAATAATGAACTGATCATCAATCTTACCTCACTGATAACTCCACTTACTTTTCCTCCCATATCATCCCAAAGCAAATTCTAGACATTACATCATTTCATCTATACATATTTAAAAAATGCAATTCTAAGAGATAACGAATCTCTTTTTAAAAATACAACCATGTTACCATCATGATTAATTTCTCAGTATCAAATATTTGGTATGCTCATTTACAAATGCCTAATACTTTTTCTTGTTTGAGTCCCATTCTAATTGATCCATAGAGCCTAAAAAGAAATGGCAAATCTTATGATATGTGCTTGGGTAAAATTTATATTATGATAAAGAAAGTTATAAGTCCCATGTTATCTCAAACATAGATATCTCCCAAAAATTTAAATTAAAAATAAATTGCCTCTAGTTGAGAATATAAAAAGCAAAATATCAGTAGAGACACACTATTACAGAGTTATTGTTCAAGGAAAGAAGGCAGAGATGGGAAATATTTCTAAAAGTTATCCCTAATAAAAACCTCAAATGAAATTTTCTTTCAAATTATTGGGAGGTAATATTATGAATGAAAAAGTACTGACCAAATTCTTCAATGGATTATTAGACTCTTTATAGTATTATCTACCATAGAAACTGTGGGAAAAAAACCAGTGGAATATTCAATAGAATCAGAATCAACAAGCTATCCAGGTTATAGTTTCTGTGGAAGAACTATATCTGTATTTGTGTCTACTTGTAAGGCAGAGAGAAACAAATGAAATATTATAACTAAATCATATACAACATTGTTGAGAGCTTAATTAAATGCCTAGCACTGTTTTACATATCTTAACATACTCTGGTTTCTCTTCTAATCACATAAATATTTTGCCTTTTATATGTATTAAATCACTCAGTAATCACAGAAACCCCACAAGGTTCTATATTATTATTCTTCTCCTTTTTTACAGATAGAGAAGTGGAAGATACGAAATCTTAAGAAATTTGCCCAAGGTTACACATCTAACAAATAGCAGAGCTAGGATATGAACCCAAGAAGACTGGTCCTAAAATCTATATTAATTTTATCTACTGCACCATACATCTCTCAACATAAGGCTTCTATTAAAAGTTACTACAAAATGGTATAATAGTGTGAAATAGGAAGAAAATGGCTAAAGAAGTGGGAAGGGGAGGGGAAAGGAAATAAGGGAAAAGAAAAAATGTGAAAAAAGGAAAAAGTGGAAACAAAGTCTTTGTAAATAGAGAAGGGTAAAGGGGCTGAAGGGAGGGCAGGGATATGGGGACAAAACAAGAACCAAGACAAGTCATGGAAAGGTACAAGACCCCAATAATAAATGTAACTGTATTGTTTGCTTTAAATGTACCAATAAACTTAAAGGGAAAGAAAAGTTACTACAATTTTTGTAGTGGTGAATATATCATTTCTGTGGAAACAACTTACTTATTTTCAAATTCCAGCATTTGAGAAACTGTTGGAAGAACAAGACGAAACAGACACCTGTGTGATAAAATAATATACAAAGTGATTATTAGGAAGAAAAAAATAAGAATACATACTAAGTCATTAACTTTGAGTATCCCAGGAGGCAAAATTGAGAAAAGACATGGTAAGAGAGATAGATTTTATTGTATTCATAGTTCTTTGGATCATTTAATGGTTGTAATGAAAATGTATCAGTTTTGTGATTTTGAAAGTAGCACCTAATAAACAATTTTAAAACAAAAATGTTGCTTATAACCAATTAATACTTGGTTCCACAGTTTGTATCATTGTCCAAAATTGCCTGCTAGAACATCAGATAGTGTGTATACATTTTTATATTTTTCTTTCTCTAAAGGAATCTGGAACTGGTCCTTGGGTCCCATACAAAATAGTATCACTATGCTTTGAAGAGCTCTGGAAGTATCGTGACAAACTGACAAAATAAAGGACAGTAATTGATAGTTGCAAACCTGAAAATGCTTTAAAAATACCTTCTGTAATAAATGATCTAAGATACCACCTGACTGAAGGTATGCAAGTATATCAACTCCTTTTGGCTTTTACTTTTTGTGATACCATTTCCCTTTGGAAGTGTTGTTCGAAGTTTAACTGACTTACAGGAGAACCACTCTAAAATACTTCTGCTTCCCCATTTTTTCACTAGCATTTTCTCAGTCACAACATTAGTTGTCATGTACCAACCCCACAACTTTCTCCTTCACTATTGTATATAAAATTTCCCTTTTGACAAACCCTTTACCTTCCTAGAAAGAAAGCCAAGAAGATCAGATTCAACTGCTATGTTTTGTTGGGTTTTTTTCCTTTGAGCAGCTGGGTTAACACTTATTGACCTCATCAGCCCTATTTTGGCAGTTTACCAATCAAGAGTAGGGCGAGTAGAGAATGTCTTCTCAAAAGAATGTGGGCTACTTACTTTAAAGCTGTAAGTGCTTCTTGTGAGTCTTTGGAATGTTGAGCGAAATATTCCAAAGCTCTTCCTGCCAGAATTTGCTGTCCATTCTAAAAAGAACAAATACGATATGTTGTTACATCTCAAAATTATACTTATATTATCGACATTCTTGTCCATTAAGGTCAAGAAAAATTCTGAACATGTTCATTTTGTGTTCTCAAAAGAGCTACTGCAAGACAGTAGAGTGAAAACAAAACTCACTGACAAAAAATAAGTTTACATTAGCCCCAGAAACTCACACGGCTTTGCTAACACTGCCTTGAATCCATTTGGATTCACTTTATCATGCTCTTTATCCCTGTTTTTTAGCAGTTACAGAGAGAACTCCAGACTGTCAGATCACCTTCATTTCCATCATGCTAATTCCCCAAAGGCTCTGGACATACCCTCTTCTGTCCTTTTCCCATCTCTCCCCAGCTACCCCAATCCTCCCACTATTTTCTCTGACATTCAGCCAACAATCAGCAAAATCTCCTGTGCACACAACCTCTTCTCCAAAAGTCCCCTCCACATTACTGCTGTAACACACTGTTGGTGAACCTCTTAGAGCTTCCAATGATAAAAAACAGCCTGCTGCAGCACATGTGCCATAGGTTTGCCATCACTGCTCTAATGGAGGTTTCTCCCAAATCATTGCTTCCACTGAGCCCTCAAGTGGATTTTTTGCTCTTATTTCCCTTCTAACTCCCAGTCGTGGAGATGCAATAGGTACCTTTCTTGCTTTTCACTGCTATTTTAAAATTATTACCTATACGCTTCTTCCCTGAAACCCACAACTTTGAATTTCTTGTCACCAGACTATATCACACACTATTACTCTTTGTTGTTATGGTCAATCAGCTCTGAAGCCATTTCTTCTCACTTGTTGATGATTTAATTATTGCTAAGTTTTGGGGGGCCCTAAATCACTGTTGTTTTAATATTTGTCATTTTCAATACATAAGCATATATTCCTTTCAATATCTAAGCCTCTTAGTGAACATCACTCTGCCAACTATCATAGCCACTCATTCTCCCATTTCTTCACTAGATCCTGTCATTGCTAATAATTGCAACTCTTTCATACCTTTAGTCAGGGCTGAGAATAGGGTGATCAGGCAAGGTGAGAGAAGCACCTAGGGTACAAAATTTAGGGAAGCACTCACTATTTGGATTGTACGAAGTACCAAGCATATGCTTGCAGGACCCTGAGAGTGAGAACCTTCTTAATGTGCTCTCTAGGAGCTCCACTCTGTCACCCTAGTCCCTTGCTCAGGTTCTAGCTTGACATGGTTCACTTTCTGACCACTACCTCTTACCCTCCCTCCTCTCCCCTCTACCACTCTGACTCTAGCAACCCTTAAACTGTAGTCACATCCCTAACTCTTCACCATCCCTCATACATTTAACACCCTTCTTTACATCCAGTTTCAATTCCACAGGGATAACACTCCCCTTATTCCTGGATTCTCTTGTCCTTCTTTTGACTCATTGTATTCATGGAGTAAAACCACACATCTGGTTAAGTCCAACATTCTATTGAGCCTGCATCCATTTGACAGAGTGTGGGCAGAGAATAATCCATACAACTATTTTCTTTACTTAAGAATGTCATAAAATTGAGCCTTAATGCTGCAGGTAAGTAGATCACACTTCTTAGTCATTCACTTTCCTGCTTTCTTGGGTGATCAATTTACATTTTATCAGAACTCCAGTATCTTTTCTCCTAAGGTCATGACCGGGAGTAGAAAAAAGTGGAGGAACCAGCAAAAGAAGACAAAAAGTAGGAGGTAGGAAGGAAACAAGTATAATATGGGTATCCTGGAAGCCAATTATATATCAAAGAGAAAAGACTGATCATCTGCATTGACTAATGTTGATAGGTAAAATAAAATGACTGAAATTAAACATTGCAATTTACAATGTCAAGGTCATCAGTGACCTTGACAAAAATAGTTTTGGTGAAGCTTGATAAAGGCTCGGGAGACACGGAAGAAAGAATTTAGAGACAATAAGTACAAATGATATCTTAGAAGATTTTTGTTACAAATGGAAGAAAAGAAATTGGGCAATAGCTGCTGAGAGGAGGATCAAGAGGATTCATTTTTAGTTTTTGGTTAAGATGGGATAATTGAGTATGTTTCTATGCTGATGGGATATAAACAAATAAGAGAACAAAAAGTTGACAAGTTGAGAGGGAAAAAAATGTCAAGAAGTGATGAAAGCAAGTGCTTAAATTACAGAAAGGGCATTAGGAAAGAACATAGCTAGTCCATTCATGATTGTGGTTGAGAAGGCAGAATATATAGTGTAATTGCTGGTGATGGGACTCTGTGAAAGTTCTCTTCCTGGCTGCTTCAGTTTTCAGAATTTAGACTATACATATTATCTCTTATGTGTGTATGGGGATGAATTTTGTAAGGGATTTAAAGAGAGAGTTGCTTATTTTAAAAGGAGAGATGGCAATGTTTTACCTGCTTAGTAATCTTACTATCCTTTCTAGACTCTTATTATTTTAAGACTAGATTATTACTGTAGTCTTACATCCTTCCTGCCTTTAATTTCTACCTATTCAGCTCACCAGGAAAACTAAAATGATTTTTCCAAAGCAATGCCTTTACATAATTACATCAATGTTTCCTTATTGCTGAGAAAATAATCAGTATTGTATAATCTGGTCATGGAAAGTCTTCTACTTTATCCTGTATTTTTATATAAACATCATAACAATACAAACTACTGTTGCACTAGGCCCCAAATCTAGAATGGTGAAGAAATAAATCATCTGTCAGTCTTAACAAAATAACCAAACATGTTCCCTTTTCCATGTCTTATTCTATACTTTTAAGAAAAAGTTCTTACATATCAAATTACTACCATTTCCAAAGCCCAATTTAAGGTATCCCTCCAGAGAGATAGACTTCCCAAATTGATTCCAGTTCTCAGTGTTATTACTCCTCTGAATTTCAGTAATTTTTTACATGTATATCAGTTACTTGGTCTTTATCCTATATTTGTTCTTACATTACTAATCCATGCCTTGTGTGTTCAAATTGACTTGTAAGAACTTTGAGGACCATATTTGCCATGCCAAAGTCAGTATCTTGCTCAAAGTAATTGACAAATACAATTTGAACACTATGTATTTTTCTATTACTAAGTAGATAGGAGAACACATAAAAGAAGAAAAATGTTTTGCAGATGCAGACACATGTCTGCACAGACATGTTTGTGTAGAATGGGGAAAGAGGAGGAAATGAAAGAAATCCTGGGGCAGGAAGCCCAAAAGCAAATATAGCTTTAAAGGAAGGTTTATAAATTTACATTTGATATAAATAACAGAAGAGAGCGAGTGGAAGAATTATGGAACTGCAGCTCTGTGTATAAAGATTGTTTTATCTAGAAGAAAAAATGAGAAACTAAAGTAGTGTAAGAAGATGGATCTTCATAGTTTACAAATCACATTTTCAAACATCTTATCAGCTAATTTGGATAACAATCCTCAAGGTAGATATTATTTTTGTGGTGCAAATAATAAAATTAAGATTTAAAGAAGTTAGACACTTAATAAGTGGCAGTACTCAAACCCAGACCATGGGCTCTCGAGTTGTTACTATGCTTTTCCTACTCTTATATGTTATTAAGACCAAAATATTACAAGTAAAAAAATAGGAGTGCAAATATTTATTATATGTAAACTAACATTTTGTCATTGTAAACTAAAAATATCCACAGAAATTTAAACCATCTCATTGCAATTGACCAAAAAGGTAAATTTCCAAATAGATACTGATTTATTTATGTGGTATGGCATTTTAAATCTGAGTTTTCTTTAAAAACTAATGTCTTGCTTATTTTATTTTTTTTTTGTTATTTTAAGCACAAATCTGTTCCTACATTTGTTTCATTTACCTTAATTACATTATAAAGAAATGAAGAGAGGGGCTGGGGATTTAGCTCAGTGGTTCTGGCGCCTGCCTCTTAAGCACAAGGATCCGAGTTTGATCTCTGGTACAAAAAAAAAAGATAAAGAAATGAAGAGAAATAAAAATATTCTGCAACCAAGCTTGGTGTAAAAATATGAGGCAAAACAGTGTAAATGAATGTCTTTCTTTTAACTGATACCGACTCTATTCATTGTCTTTCAAAAGGGGAAAAGAGGCAAAAGTCTAGTAGATAGATATACATGAATTACCTCTAGAGCAAACTGGGCAGCCAAACATAGGAGCATGGTAGATGAACCTCTACTTGTCAGCACACCTTTACCTTTTGTTTCTTCATCTGTGAGTATACTTTCTAATGTAGTGATTGCCTGCAAAGCTGAAAAACAAGGAATCCATGGAAATATGAGATATGCTTATCATAGTTAATACTTACCTATAATTAATTCTAGTACATTGTATTTGGAACTTATTTTAAGAGCAATAATACATTTAGAATATTAGCTAAGGTTTATAAAGTCATATGAGTCAGTAAATTGCCAAGCAGTATTTGAATATCAGAAGTAGGCCCACCTATTCTAAAAATAATGGGTAGGCTAAATACATTTTGGTACAATCATAAAATACAACGTAATACAGGACCAAATTAGAAATGGTTGTATTCTATTCTATTCTATGTCTTAAAGGTGGGATATGATAGAATAAATATATATATACTGTAAACTTCAAGTAACAAATAACCAAGGTTTATAGCTAATAAGCCAAAAAAGAGATAAACACAATTATAAAATTCAATTAAAAAGAAATCAGAAAATAGCAACAAAGAACATAAGTCAAATAACGTGATGCTAAATTTAAATCTAACTATTAACAATGTTAAATATAAATTACTAAATTACTCTGTTAAAAGGTAGTGATAGAATAGATTACAATAAAATGAAACACAGTTTTTAAATATGTTCTACCTGCAAGAAACACCCTTTAAATATAAAGACAAAATTTGTTAAAAGTACAGAGTAATAATATTATAGTCAGGGTAATCAAAGAAAGCTGAAGTAGCTATATTAATATCAGATAAAGTAGATTCCAGAGCAAAGAATAATTAGTACTGTTAGAAGGGTATTTCAAGATAATAAAGAAATCAATTCATCATGAGCACATAACCTAAATGTTTACACCCCAGATAACAGAATTGCAGAATATCAGAAGCAAAAACTGGTGGAACTGCAAGGATAAATGAACAAATTCATATTTATAGCTAAAGTTTTAAATACTATCTTCTAATAATTGGTAGAATAAATAGAAAATCAGCAAAGGCACACTATGCATAATACTATCTGTCAACTGGACCCGATTGACATTTATACCACTCAACCCAATACCAGCAAAATATATATTCTTCTCAAGTACAAATAGATATTTAACAAGAAAGACAATATTATAAGCCATAGAACAAGTTCTAACATGCTTTAAGGGATTCATCATGCAAAGTATGATCTTCTACTAAATGGAATTAAATTAAAAATCAAGCTGGCTGTGGTGGCACGTGCCTGTGATGACAATGTTGAAGGAGGCTGAAGGCAGGAAGACTAATTTTGAGCCAGCCTGAGAAATTTAACAAGATCTTTACTCAAAATAATTTTTTCCTTTACCCATTTATTTTATTAGTACAAGTTTGTAGTACTTTATATTCCTTGAGAAGAATTGGTACAAATACATAATACACCTTAATTCCTTTTTTATCTCCTTTCATTTCTCTCCCTCCCCTCTTTAAAATAAATTTTTTATAGGCCTGGGATGTAGCTCAGTGGCAGAGTGCTTACCTAGCATGAACAAAGCCCTATGTTGAATTGAAAAAAAGTAATAAAAGAACATTCTCTGGAAATATTTGGAAAATAAACAAGATAGTTCTAAATAATTTATGGATTTAGAAAGAAATAAAAAAGTCAAAATGGAAGGTATTTTAAACTGAATTACAATAAAAATATCACATACCAAAATTTGCAGATTGCCAGTAAAACAATAGTTAGAAGATTATCTATAACATTAACAATCTCTATTATACCAGAATAATGGTCTTAAATCAATGGTTGCAGCCTTCAACTTTGCAAAATGGAAAAATAAAATCAAAACTCAAAGTAAGCAGAAGAGTAGACATTGTAAAGATTAGAATACAGAGTCTGGGAAAATAGCTAAGCAATAGAGTGATTACCTAGCACGTGCAAGGCCTTGGTTTTGATTCCTAGATAAACAGAATGAATGAAAAAAGATTAAGATGTAAATGAGTGAAACAGAAAATGGAGGAAAATGAAAGAAACCTAAAGCTGATTCTTCAAAAACATCAATAAAATTGCTCAACCTCTAGCTGCACTGGCAGGAATAAAACAGAGAAGACACAAAATACAAGTATCATAAATAAGAAAGGTGACATCACTGGAGATTTTACAGATGTTAAAAGGATAATATGGGAGATGTCATTAACAACATTGGGACAATAATTTCAACAACAGATAAAAATGTTAAAGATGCAAACTATGAAAGCTAAATCAAGGAATAATAGATAGCCTAAATAGCATTATATAAATTAAATTTAACTTATAATTGAAAACATTCCCATGCAAAAACTTCCAGACTCAGATAGCTTCACTGATGAACGCTACTATTTAATGAAGAAATAATATAAATATAACACAAATTCTATCAGAAAATTGAAAAGAAGGATATACTTCATCACAACTTATTCTATAAAGTCAGTATTATCTAACAACAAAACTACAGAAATTTTGGAAAAAATAAATCAATAAAACTCATGACCATAGGTACAAATATCCTTAAACTGTTAACAAATCAAATTATATAAAAGAAAAACATATGACCAAGTGAGGTTTATCCTAATAATATAGCATTAGCTTAACAGTCAAAAATCAAGGTAATTAAGCGTATTAATAAACTTCTAAAATTTTAATTTATTTCAATGAATGTAGAAAAACCATATGATCAAATTTGTCACCTATTTCTGATTTAAAAAAAAAAACTCTGAGGTAAAAGGAAATAGAAGGGAACTCCCTCAACCTGATAAAGAATATCTTGATGCCTAAGATGGCTTTTGCTATTCTAGGTCTCTTATGGTTCCAAATGAATTTTTGGATTCTTTTTTCTAGTTCTGTGAAATATAGTGTTGGAATTTCAATTGGCATTGCATTGAATGTATATAGCAGTTTTGGTAGTATGGCCATTTTCACTATGTTGATTCTTCCTACCCAGGAGCAGGGGATATCTTTCCATTTCTTTATATCCTCTTTAATTTCTTTTTTCAGAGTGCTATAATTTTCAGTGTAGAGATCTTTTGCTTCTTTTGTTAGACTGATTCCTAGATACTTCATT